ATCCCCAGTAAAAATTATACTTTTATGAATGTTTACATAATCTGAAAAGTCCACTTTACATGAATGCTAATACAGAACTATGAAAGAAAAATCATATTAGGCTTGTGAGAAATCAGTATCTTTTTTTTGAAAAAGAAATAGAAAAATACTAAGCTGCCTATGCTGAATAGACATATATTTTTAACTTCGTTTTAAAATACACTGTTTATTTAGCTCCTCTGCCCATTTTTTAATTTGGTTGCTTGTTTTTTGTTGTTTCTGCTTTGTTTTGTTTGTTTATTTTATGTTTTAGATTCCAATAGATACAGAGAACAAACTGGTGATTACTGAGGGGGTGTGGGGAGAGGGCCAGACGAAATAGATGAAAGGGATTAAGAAGTATAAACTTCCAGCCATAAAATAAAAAATCACAGGAATGTAAAGTACACATAGGGAATATAGTCCATAATTTTGTAGCAACTTTGTATAGTGATGGATGGTAACTGGTTTTACTGCAGTGAACATTTCATAATGCATAAAAATACTGAATCACTATTTTGTACACCTGAAACTAATATAATATTGTATGTTAATTATAACTCAATAAAAATTGTATAATGTAATAATTTAGGATAAAATGATATTGCTTTATGTTTCAATTGTAATTCTTGCTTTAGGTATATTTCATCTAAACTTTGGTGCTGCCGCTCACTTAATTTATGGAAAATGTTTGCCATGTTAACTAATGGGCAAAGCCAGCCTTTGTTTTCAAATTTCTTACGTAAATCAAACTTACCCTTTTTCAAAAAAATATAATTTTGCTTTTCAGTTCAAAAAAAAATTTTAGTGTGTATTTTGAGGAAATTATTATGAAAGTAATAAATTTTGCAACATATTTAAATTATTTGGATTTAATATAATATGTTTATTTTACAATAAGTTATAAAACAAGACAAACCAATATTCCGCTGCACATTATTTTACTTGAACTAATGTCAGGTACCATATAAGTAAAATTTTTAGTTATTTATGGAGCTAGGAGTATTTTTAAAAGTTTGATATTCCTGAAATATACATGTTAGGGGGATACCAAATTTTGATGTTTTACTTTTGGGAATAATTTTTAAAGTTGCAAATATAAAAGAAATAACTTTGTTAGATATCATGATAAAATTTTATAATTTATAGGCAAAGTAGAATATATATTAAATCTATACATTTACATATATATATTTATTGAGCAGCTAGCTAGCATATAGTGGGGGGTTTTTGTTAGTAGGAGGTAGAAAATACATATAATAAAAAACATATAATGAATAAATGATACATAATATATTATGTATATATATACATACAAACATCTATATATATATACATACACATAGTGAAATGGTCCTGCAAATAGTATATAATTTAATTTTTTGTCAATAGGAGGTACAAAATATTAAACATTTTATATTAAATGATATATGATAAGGTTTGACATCATTTAGATTAAGTATTTCATAATATAATTAATTACATAAGGTAAGTTTTAAATTTCTTTTTGAACAATACAGAATTAGTCTGAAATGAATCAGAAATGTGACATCCATGGGTTTATTCAATGCATCTTTAGCAGTCTGGTTGCCTTAGAAATATCCCAGTTATATTTAAAAGAATTAGGGTCACTAACCTACACTGCTTTGATTGTTTCAAAGTAGTTTCAAACCAGTGACACTTCCTAGGAACAAATATTGAGAATAACTGAAAAGAACTGCTTACATTTAAATTTTTAAAAGCCATTTTTAGCTTTCAATATTTCCTATGGATGTTCTTTCTGTTTTGCTCTCAAGGGAGTCTCCCTCAAGAGCAATTCACTTTCACATTATTCAGCTAAATAAAAGGCAAAACCATTAAATGAAACTTGCCATTGTTCCCATCTCCCCACTCTACCTTATCTCTGACTTCAGAACATCCCATCATGACACAGAACACCTGAGTATCAGCACCATGCCTCTCCTTTAGCAGATATATGCAAGATAGGACAGGAAGGCCGATTGGTCTCTTTGGTTGGCATTCTAGCAATTTGAAGATGTGTGAAAGACACTTCTTTATATCGTAACATAGAAGAATTACTATGATAACCTTGGATATTTTCTCAGGCAGATCAATTTTAGGAAAGCATACAAATGTAATTTGATTCCTTTGATGCTATCCTCACTCGTTTATCCCTTGGAAAGTGTGGTGTTAACATGTCCATGATAGGTACCCTGGTGTGAAGAATGCTACTCAACAGGCTGATTCTAGGTAAACAAAGCACACCCACCCTACATAGCAAAGAATTGTTCCAGAATATATAATTTACAATGGTATTGGTTTTCATAGTTATGTTTTAAATAATTATACAATAAAAATGTAATATTTTACAATGATTCAGTGCCTTCAGCCTGCATCACGGAGTATTTGAAATAGAATTTAATATTTAAAAATTTTGACAAGTTGAAAAGTAAATATGCATGAAGAATGTAAAGACACTAGGTACTACACTTAATACCCTAAAGCTATATTTATATATAACAACATAAGCCACAGAAGAGCAGATTCAAAAATTTCAACCATATTAATAATCTGTTTAATAATAAACCAGGCAACCCTGAGATTATTTGACTGTACTGTTATTCCATATCAAATTAAAACTGCAAACTCCACCCATAAATAACAAGGTAGCTAAATTTTTATTTTGGTAAAAATAGCAATAACTGGACAAATGAAACCAACATTTTAAGCACGTTTAAATAAAATGCTTCATATAGATACAGGACAGTTGAATAAACAAAGTCACAGCCTGATAATTGGAAAGAGTACTAATGAAGAGACTAATAAAGACTCATTTAGACAGATGAAAATCAAATATTTTAAGAGGATATAATTCTAGATTGTCAAAAAAAACCTAAAAAACTTCTTAAACCACAATTTTAAAATATAGAATTTATAAAATAATTCATCATAACATAGAGATAAGCTCATGGAATCTCTTCCCTAATAATATCATTAAAAATATACTTTTAAAAGCAGAATATGTATTAGAAATGCTTTGTAAAATATCACATACTGATTTAAAATTCATTGTTTCTATGACTCTACGAAAGAAAAGGTTTTAAATAAAAAATAATTGTAATTAAATATATTTTTTTATAACTAATGTTTATTACAGCCTCTGTACCCAAGGTAGGATGTATAAGATGTTGCTTTAAATGTCCACTTTCTCATGTAACTCTGTAAATAATAATATTAAGAAAATATATTCAGGTGATTTTAGTCAATTCTCCTTTTAGACATCAGTGTACATGCTTTTAAATATATATATCCCTTAGACTGCTTTAACTAATGATCATTACTGACATTTTTTAAAAGTATCTTAAACAACTATTTAATAGTTTTTCTGTTGATTTGGTAAAGCAATACAATAATTTAAAAACAATAATTAAACAGTTTTGCATGCATTTGCAACTTATGCTAATCATTTCATAAAACTTAATTTTAAAATAATCCCACCAGAAAATTCAAATAAAAAGCAATGAACAGATTCTATATTAAATACTAGATATTGATTTATGGAGAATATCATCTTATATGATATTCTTGTAGAATTTAATTTATAAATAAGAAAATATTTGCTTTTCACTCTTCCATATCCAAATGGAATAAATATATATACAAGCTGTAATTTCCAGACCATCACTGGTAACTCATTAGCTTAAACTTTGCCTATGTTCTGGGCAGTATCCATTGGAGATCAGCTATAAAAAGACTCTGCTTTTTACCTCAAGAAGTTTATAGACTAATCTAGATTCTCCATACCTGGATTTGATGACTTAAGAATGTCTTGAGTTCTTGGGTTCTCACCATGGATTTGTGAGTAGGGCAACCCATCCTTTCTGCTCTCAATAGCTTCATAAACACTTTCATTTCTGAATGGCAGTTCCACACCTGAGTTTCACTACTTTACCTTTTACTGGGCAAGTTACAGATACAAATTTTCCAAATTAACATACACTAAGTAGATTTTATCCCAAACAGTGAGGTTATCATCATCTGTCAGGCAAGGCCGAAGCTCCAAATTTTTGGATCCTACTGCTTGCATTCACAGTAGGTCTAGTGAGACAGCAACAGAGGCCAGTAAGTTCTCCTCTGTAATAAATACTCCCAAGAGCTATTGCCCAACATGTGCAGCAATAACTAACTGTATTAAGTCTGGCTTTTATGTTTCTATCTCATACCAAATATACCTCAGGATGGTATCCTTTGCTCCCTATTATTCCTTCTAGACATAATTCGTACCCCTTCCTGTAAAAATCTCTGAGGCTTTTGCCCCACAGTTATAACCTCTTTTACCCAGTCGTATTGCTCCCATCTTTTGGATTTATGATCATTCCATTCAGTGACTGACGACGTTGCTTATTCCTTCAAGGAATCCCTGTAAACCACAGCCAAGCACACCCAGATGACTCTGCTGCTTTGGGATGACACAATACATACTGACTGCATATGCCTGTGCCTTCAAGATTATTATCCTCCACACTATCTCAGCTACCCTGTCCAACAGATATCACCTAAAATTGAAAAATAATACTGACAATAACATGAGAAAAAGAATAAAAATTTAAAATCTATATATCTGGCCACAGTGAGAATAATAAAGATTATGGGCATCCTCATCTTCTGGGCCATTTAGAAAACTATAGAACTCACCCCTCATTCCTGCAATTCAAATTCACATTAATCAGTGTGTAGATTGATTTGCACATCTACTGAAGAAGGTATTAATTAAATAATCAACTTAAAAATGATAGGATTAGCTTCATTGGAAAGAATCGAGTATTTCTTTTCCTAACTATAAATCTTAATCTAACCATTAAACAAAAACTCTACATTAAAAATAAATTGTCTGTAACAAAGTAAAATCTATTTAAGTTATGGTGAAAATCAACATTACCATAAAAGAAAAATACTTTTTTTCAAAGGTCAACACAACTAACCTTTTCTTTTCAAGTGAGGCTCCTCTATTTCTCCTAAACCAAGGCAAAAACAGTAAATTAGAAAAACTTTCAGCAGAGCATAATATTGCCTCTCTATTTTCCCACTTTCTTTCATTCATTTTTAAAAAACCACCTATTAGTTTTGATAATAGTAGTTCATATATTACTTTGCCTTCCAAATTCCAATTTTTAAGTATACACTTTGCCTATGTACATTTGAGATAGTTTCACTTTTATGAGTTCAATAAAATTGTGGCAGTGATCCAAATTATACATTATAGTTCATATATCATGTTCATTTCAGTCCTCTATTGTTCATCTCAACCTCTCACAGGAGCCAAAAAATACAAATTCAGACAAAGTCATAGAAAGGACTAAAATAATAAGAGCTTTCCTGGTAGTCAAGGCTGAATATGTAATTTCTGATGAGTAAGGCTGATCTTAAAAATGCCATCTAAAAAGCAGAATTACAACACTTTGTTCTTTTCACATCCACTCAATAGCAGTTTACATGTGGTTTAAGTTTGTTATTTCCTTTTGATCATCAATACATTCTAGAGAGTAGTTTAGTTGCATAATTGTTGTGACATTTAGAATGTGTCCCTCCATTCTACACCTCCATTTGATTCAATTAATTAACTTTCATTGTGATTTTAGTAGGATTGCTTTCTCTATTTGACTGTAAATATGAATTATACATATAACATATTTATACGTATATTTAGTTTTCAAACTTGGGAAATAGCAGCCATTTTTTGTTCCTGAAGAAGCATATAAATGTGAGTTTCTATTGTGGTTCTGTAGGATTGTATAATAAGTCCCTCTCTACTATAATGCTACTCTAATGTAGCATTTAATTTTGACATCTTTGCCATAATGGCAGATAAGCTATAAGATGAAAGCCATATAGAGACCAATTTACTGAGTTTGGCAGCCTGTTGATAGGCTATTTGCACCCTGAAGTGTATTCATTTTGGTTTAGCCTGACCCAAGTGCTCATGTGTGCTTAAACTTAAGCAAACTATTGTAATGCGTATCAATCATCGGTCCTAGCAGTTAGATATATCTCTATGCTCTTTGTACCTTTATCAGTGTCCTTGTCTCCATCATCATTATCTTCTTCATCACTCTCAGACGAGATGATGTCAGACAACAAAGAAAAGAAGCCATAGACCCAGTCCGTGGTTTCCTCCACAGCATCATGTACAAGTTTTAGAGGATCTGAGCCAATCTTGGAAATAGAGCTTGCTGAAAGTAATTAAAAACAAAGAGAAGTTTTGTAATCATTCCCAAAGAAACTAAGAAAAGCTGCTTTTCCTGATTTATTCTTTTAATACATTTGAGTTACTTCTAGTAACTTCAATGGATAGAATTAGGAAAAACTGAAGTCTGTAAATCTTCCCTTTCTTATATCCTAGGAGATATAAACTGTTTGTGAAATAAAAGATTAAATAATAAAAATGCAAGCAAGAAAACAGATACATCAGGGATTTCCAACATGTTGTTATTCTCATTCTAGCTACATGAAAGTTGCTCTGAAGGGTTAAGGGTAGCCTTTAAGATCTGATTGAAGAGATGATATATCTAGAAATATGGTCTAAGTTGCACCTGATTTTTCATCAATCTATAATTAAATTTTTAGATTTATGTTTTCTTAATTTTAAAAACTAAGCTTTTCAGGGATTCTTCTCCCTTTGACATCTTAAGGGACTAGAATTATATCAACATATTATACTTTCTAAGGGTTAAGTATGCCAAAATTAGGTTTTTACTCTGATTGAGATAGGAAGTCATTGGAAGGTCTGAGCAGAGGAAAAAGTGATTTGATTTATGTAACTTCATTTGCCATGCTGAAGACTGAAAGAATGCCTGGTTGGAAACAGGGAGATCAGTAAAAAGCCAAATGTAATAATCCATAATCCAAGGGAAAGAAGATGGTGATTTCTATATGGGTGGTACCAGTTTGTGTGGTGAGGTGTGATCAGATTCTGAGTGTTATCTAAAAGATAGAATTAATGTATAGACTGACAGTATGGCTGTTGGATGTGAGAGAAAGAGAGGGGTGTGGAATAACTTCAAGGTTTTTGGTTTGAGAAACTGGAAGGATGAAAATAACATTTACTGAAATGGGGAGGACTGGAGAGAAACAGGGTTTGTTGTGCAGAATATTTAAGTAGCTGAGTTTTAAACTTGTTAAACTTGAGTTGTCTATTGGACCTCTATGTGGAGATGTAGACATTTGTATAGCTCAATATGTTCTACAAAAATGAAGTTCTAGATGAAGACGGAAACTTGGAAATTCAATAAAGAATAGAAAGCATTCAAAGCTATGACACTGAATGTGATCATTAAGGGAGTGGACCTAGGAACACTCCAACATTTACAAGACAGTGAGATAAGTCAGAGAGATGAGGAAGAACCAGCAATGGATTCTAAGGAGAGAAGAGAGACAGACAGAGACAAAGAGACACAGAGGGAGATTGAGAGGAAGAAAAAAAAGAGTATAATGTACTAGATATCAAGTTAAGAAGTTGTTTCTGTGAGGATAAAGTGAGCAGTTGGCAAATGTTGCTGACAGATCAAGAAAGATGAAGACTGAGAATAGAGCTTTAGATTTAATGATGAGGATGTCACTGGTGTCCTTCAAAGGGCAATTTCAGTGAAATACATTCAAGACTAAATGGGAAGAATTTAGAGGTAGTAAGTATATTTTACTGTAAAGTAAATGACAGAGATTGGGCCATAGTTGAAGGACTAGAATCATAGTAGGGTTTCCACTGTTTATGTTGTTCAAGTGGGAAGAATGTTCCATTTTTATGTTGATGGGTAAGATGCCATAGAGAGGGGCAAATAATATTAGAGATAAGATTTCTGGGGAAATTTTTAATTGCAGAGGATTCACAACCCATCACAAGGATGCCAAGTTACAACTGGTCTCAGGGAAACCTACCTCCATGATTCAGTGACAACATAACTTTACTCTTTAGACCTTATTTCACTGCATTCTGGAGAGTGTCATGTGAGCAAGATATGGTAGTCTGAAAGGTGAGATTAAACCTTAGAGAAAGGAAATGAAGTGGAATTTTATAATTGCATTTGAGAATTTTAAAAGAATTATATGTAAGGAACTGGACTGGACTGGTACCATAAAAGGCATTTTTAGCACTAGTATATTTTATATCTAATGGAAGAATATTGCAAATGGGATTTTTATGATCTGAATAGACTTAGACCATTTCCCCATTCCTCTTCTTTCTAAGTGTTCACTGAGGAACTTAACAATAAAATCCAACAAAATAGATACCAGTTTAATTATCCTTATGCTTAAATGCACTATATATACACTTTGCAGACATGTATATTGTCTGGTTCTAAGATAGTCAAACCAGGTTATTTTCATGAAAAAATATTTTGCTATCTTGAGACCAGCTTCTGACTTTTAGTCACATGGAAAACAACTTTAAAAACATATATAGATATGGATATAGATATATCTTTAAAAAGATAGTAGTCCTCAAGTTAATTCTTATCCCTTCTCTAAGACATCACATCCAAATTATAACAGTGGGGATAATATTATACAATGCAACTAAACCTTTTATAGATTTTTTTTTTTTTTTTTCAGTACGTGGGCCTCTCACCGTTGTGGCCTCTCCCGCTGCGGAGCACAGGCTCTGGACGCGCAGGCTCAGCGGCCATGGCTCACGGGCCCAGCCGCTCCACGGCATGTGGGATCTTCCCGGACCGGGGCACGAACCCGTGTCCCCTGCATCGGCAGGCGGACTCTCAACCACTGCGCCACCTGGGAAGCCCTCATTTTGCTACGTTTAAATGCCTTCTTTTACAAATGAGTGAGTACCAGGATATTGCCATACTCAATAACAGATGTTATATTTTGAAAGTATAAAAACTTAAAAAAAAGTTGTATGTAATCACCTGCCCTGAATTACATAAAAGATTTAACTTCAAAATCAAGTGTCTCTGCATAGATTTTCCTTCCACTAGATTTTTAACACAGACCATATACAGAGGTTGAAATTCCCTGTAACCTTTTATCCTTACCCTCAGTGAACACTCCTCAGAGTATGGCAAAATAAAAAGCTGGATTCATAAAATTCCCATGGTACTTCTAATATTCATCACACTATGAAAGATTTTTACTTATGTCTGTGGTGTTGGGGCCTGAGGACAAAATAAGAGGCACTCAGGAAGAAAAAATGGGCGAAAAGTAAAGGAAGCAGTGGAATCTGGAGCCTGTGAGGGTTGAGAGAACACACTGGAAACTGCATCAGTCCTAAGACCTCCAAACTTCCCTCTTCAAAGAGGAGAAGCTGTCACCCTTCTCATGGAGCTAAATATGTACCTAGGCCAGGAGTGAAGAAGCCAAAGGAAGCTCTGGGAGGTGCTGGGGTCGCTGCAGGAGCAGCTGCTGTCCCATGCCAACAAAGTGAGTCAAGGGATCAGTGACAACAGGAGTGTGCAACTGCCCCTGGTCCCCTGCAATGACCTCCCTGGTCCTGCTTGCCTCTGCCTCTCAAATCTCTCACACAATGATCCTTCTGGCTCACACAAACTCACAACTATGTAGGGGAGGGAATTCTAGAAAACATGGTTTTATCCTAGCCAAAATGACACAATACAAATCCACGACACCTAGCTTCAATAGTTATCATTTTACCAGTTTTATTTACATTTCTTCTCTCCCACATTTATCTTTTCTTTTTTCTAGTTTAGTAAATATTTTAAAGCAAATCCTAGATACTTAAATTCTTTTTTTTTTGCGCGGTATGCGGGCCTCTCACTGCTGCGGCCTCTCCCGTTGCGGAGCACAGGCTCCGGACGCGCAGGCTCAGCGGCCATGGCTCACGGGCCCAGCCGCTCCGTGGCATGTGGGATCTTCCCGGACCGGGGCACGAACTCGTGTTCCCTGCATCGGCAGGCAGACTCTCAACCACTGAGCCACCAGGGAAGCCCGATACTTAAATTCTTAATCCCAGTTCCATAAATACTTCAAGATGCATGTCTGTTCCATAATTTGTTTGATAGTTTCTTGTTTGAGGCACAAAAAAATGTCCAAAGTAAGTTTTGTACCTTTCTTTTGCCAAGTATGGAATCAGCCACTTCTTGAAGGAATCACAGTTCCTTTTATTGGGAAATGGTATTTTGAGACTAAAATTTGGTCAGCAGGGGTGCTCATTGAGTTGGATTTGGCCAAGAAATATGAAATTTCAGTCATGTGTTTATACTGACATTTCCAAGTAAAATCTGGAATTTTCACACACCATTTTTGCTATTAAACTCACATCTCTTCTGTTGAAAATCTGATTTCTTAATGATATCAACTTAATTAATTACTTCATTTTTTTCTACAGTATACCAATAACAATTTCAAATAAAATGACAGCAATACTACTAATAACAATAAAAGCAGTGAATAGAGTTTTAGATCTCTTTTCATTTCTTTTCCTCATTGAACTATATCATACTAAGGACAGAGAGTCAGAATTGTATGTTTTAAAGTTATTTAAAGTAATTATTTTCTCTGGTTATGCAAATAACTTGATATAGATTTAGGTTCGTTTGCTTCAGTGTGTTTTCAAATTTTAGTGATTAATTTTAATTATTTAAAATTTTTAAAATTATAAAATGACATTTACAAGTTCCCTAAGTCAAAACCATTTAAGAGCACATATTAAGAAAAGTTTTGTTGCCATCCTAATCCCTTGCTATACTGTGCTCTTCTTTGACAGCTACCTAATTTTGTTAATTTTGGCTTACACTTTCATTATTTCCTATATTTATTTCATATACATATTTATATTTAAAGGAAGACATCTAAAATTTTAAATAGGGGAATAATAAAATGAGATTTGCCATTTACAGTAATCTGGCCACAGAATGAGAAAGGAGGCAGAGGCAAGATTAGAGGCAAAGAGTAAATATATGGCTAGTGTAACAATTTTGGGGAAACCAAGGCAACAGTTCTAGTGCTGAAAAGTTTAACCAAGACGAAGATGTTAAGTATGCAATTTGTTCTTTTGTTCATTTGTTCAATTTTTTTCATTAAGAAGTCAAGTGTGTATTCGAGACACTTCAGCAGAGTGATAGAATAGTGTCAGATTGTCTCTTTGAGGGGCTTGGCTAGAGGGATAGAAACAAAAAGATATGTAGCTAAATAGAGATATAGGGAGGTGAGGGAAGTTTGCTGGTTTTTCCAAGTTAGAAAACACATAAACATGTAGAAAGGA